TTTTTAGTAGAGACGGGGTCTCGCTCTTGCTCAGGCTGGTCTTGAACTCCTGAGCTCAAACGATCCTCCCGCCTCGGCCTCCCAGAGTGCTAGGATTACAGGCATGAGCCACCGTGCCCGGCCTTGTCAATCTCTTTGAATACATTATTGATACCTTCTCACAACAAATATTAAGAAATATATTACTGTCACATTTCACGGATAACAAAATAAAGCTCCCAAGTGTTCAGCAAGTACATGGCAGAGCTAATAGTTTTAAACATAAATCTCTCTAATAGCAAAATCTGTTGTGTTCCCTGTTTTTTCCAGTATAAATTGTTTTCAGAGAAAATTAGAGAGATGATAGAATGTGGAAAGCCTTGAAATATTTTAAAACAGTATGTTAATAGGTACTGCATTTATTCAAATGAAAGAATTTTTTTAAAAAAGTAAATAATTAGCAAGTGTGAGGCTCTGACCAAAAGAGGAAAGGAAATATATTTTAAAGGGTATACAAACTGCAATTTAGGAACTGACCACTATGTAGTGACATGAGTATTTTTCTTCAGACCAGTTATTAGGCACCTGATTTGAGCAACGAACTGTTGCAAGGCTGACAAGTTTTCTGGGCTTCTGTAAACCAGCAGGGTACTGGAACTTTACTTATGATTAGTGATTACTGTCATTCTGTTCCTTGAAAACTTGCTTGTGATAAAGGACTCTAAAGCATAGTTGTTCAAATTAATCAGTGTAAATATTTCTCATATAAGGGATTATAGTTTGATTCTTCCTAATGACTAACATTGTGGATTGGTCTACACACAGTTGGTCACAGTTATGAAGCTTTATTTCACAAGATTATTGGACAAATTGATCTCAAAATCCAATAATTCACACAGACTTTCAATGATTTTTTCAGTGATATGTTTCTGAATTTCCTTAGCCAATTCTTCTCTCATCTAATAGCCAAAAGGCAAATTGCTTATTGTCTCTGTTCTTTCTCTTCAATCTACGGTCAAAAATTTGACATGTCTTAACTTTGAACCAATGATTCAGTGACTAGGATGTTTTGATCAATAACTCTGGAAATGGTCTATGAATTTCAGAGAATAATTTTCATAGAGTGAATATTTTCCCTCCAAACCTACACCTGTGCTGTCACAGGCCTAGCCACTTCCTGTCTATGATGGTGATTCCCTCCTTTGGTCCCTACAGCAGGTGATATCACAAATAAGACTTTGGGTTTTTGTACGCCTCTCTTCAACAATCCTCTCACTGTGGCCTCACTCAGAGCACAGAAATAGATCGCTGAGTCCCCCAGTTGTAAAGCTGAGATGACAAGGTGGATGGATTTTCTTGCTTTCTGGAAATTCAATGAGTAGCGACCTTCTGTTGCATTTTGCTGGTTATAGGAGTCCTGACGAATAAGGAGAAGCATCTCCCCACTGCTGGGTTGCTTGTACCAGAATAGACCATAACTACTATCACTGGTGTCATATGTGCAGTCCAGAGTCACAGCCTCCTTCTCCTGCACCAACATTGCTGGTTGGGACTGGGTTACCTTCTGGGCAACACCAGCTCCTGAAGGAAAACAGATAGAATCAGAAAGTTTAGAGATAAGTGGTGTGGGACAAAGAGATTCTATTATTACAACCTGTTACCCTCCTTCCCATCATCACCGTGAGACAATTCCTGAACCCCCAGGCCTTAGATCACAGAGGAAGCATATTCCCACTGGGCCATCCCTACCTAGCCACATCGAAGCTGTGACCACCTTCAGCAGGCTGCAGAGCAACATGTTTGGTTCTTCCTCTAGAGGGAAAATATTTTGTTCTCCTTCAGTTCCAGGACTGCACGGTGAGGTGAGTCTGACAATGTGTGAGAAGAATTACTGGGCTATGTGCTACTGCTGCTGCTGCCTTAGAACAGGAAGCAGGTTTCCTGGTGTAGTCAGTTAGTGTGTGTATGTCAAACTTCTCTAAGTACTGGCCAAGAATCTCACCCAACGCACACTTAATTTTGTATTAACCAACGCTTAATGTGATAACGATTAAATCTGAAAATAAGCATAGGTATAGTGAAAAGAATATTGATAATTCAGCTGACTCTTACATTTAGTCATTATATCTGTGATGGAACTGGGAGGTAGGCACTTATTTAAAAATAACACATGTATATACTACTATTATGTACTAATAACAACTAAATTTTTTACATTAAAATGGATAAATAATAAAAATTTAAAACTATTGCATGTAATGGATGATGGAGACAACATAAGATGTAATAATCATATATCCCCACATCTATGTATATTGTTGTTTCTCCTAAAGTGGAAATTAATCACATTAGGATAAAAAGGCAAAGCTGTTTGGACTACTCTCTGCAGACCTTTCAACTTCCTCATTAATATAAAAATATTGCCCCTCACTTCCAATGTCTGTTCAGTGCCTATCTTGGGGCAAAACAGCAGAAAAAACTAATTTCTCTTTGCTGAAGAGTTTACAACGAAGCCCTCAGACGTTGAGTCCTGTTATAAAGGTCCCCTTCACTTCCCTACTTAACTTTGACAACCCAGCTCTGTTCATAAAATCTAGATTAGACACAGAGTGTGATCATTAAGTTATCGAATCTTTGAATTTGTGTTTTTCCATCACCCTAGTTGGAACCCTAGATGAGTCACGACAAGGCACTACATTCTCTATGCCCAGCTCTGAATGGAATGTATCCTAGATGACCCCATACATCTCCCCAGGAAAGCTGATCATAGCAGCACTGATTGTGAGAAACCTTTCCTTTGAATGAACCCCATACCCTAAGGATAGCACTCAACAACATGACAAAAACCAAAAACTCATTGCCTATCATAGCCTATTTCTTAATACAGCAGCCATAACTTATTTTCCTTATCTCAATATAATTTCAGGCTTGTCTAAATTGGTTGAAGCATCTTCAGATCTTTCATGGAATCACCATTAAATCTTATGAAAACACATACAGTACAACCGTTCTGCTCTCTAAAAATACCCAATATTTTTAGCAGTTAGTTTACTATTTATGAAATATTATTAATTTCTCCTTATATTAATAGTATTCAATTCTAGTACATTTATCAGTCAAAAGACTCTCATAATTGTACTTCTATCATTCAAGAAGTGCCCATGTCCAGAACAGATGTTTTGGACAATGTCATACCTATTTCTTAATTAATTTTGTTTTTTAATATCTTATCTTTAAAATTTAAAAGGGATAATATGTAGCTGGTTGTGGAATAATTACGCCAGACTCCATGATGAAATCCAGTCCCTTAGCAGAAGCAAAATTAATTCAAGTGGCTGAACTTGTGGCTCTCTCTTGAGATGTCCTGTTACAAAAAATATATAGAGCGATAGGATGTTTTAATGTAGTTTGCCACTTCCAACTACTATGGAGACAATGATGTTTCTTAACCTTTTTAACTTTTTCTCAACTTTCTCATGTATCTTTATAAAACTGGACAACAAATACAAAATTATTTGATGTCTTGATGTTCCTCAAAGAAATTTTTCTAATAAAGACCATGTTCCACAATATAAAAGACAATATAGAAGCTAGGGAAAAAATGCTTAAGCATCATTTGCTAAACATGCCTTTCTGACTACAGTCCTTATGCAAGTACCTCTTATAGAGCATAAACACAAATCCATGGGAAAGTTCAATAATGCCATCTAAGATAAATTATTTATTTGTTTTATCAGTGAGGATTAGATATATAAAAGCCAGAAAGGCTTCCTAGTGGAAACAAATGATCTCAAAGAATTTGCTAAAGCCATCCAGAGACAGCTCATTGCAGGAGGGACATATGGCTATCATATTAAAGAAACATTTGTGGGGAAACTTTTCTAGGACAGCAGGGAACGTAGACAGTTCATGTCTTTTTGGAACCAAGAAAATCCCATGAAAGCAATAAAAATGGAATATGAACTTGAATATTGTCTTAAGGAAACACTGGAGTATCTCTAAAGGGTTGTACACAATTATATTCCCTGTGTCTGTTATGAATATATATTGGTAATAGTCTTCTTATTTTCTACATGAGTAGAAGGGCTCTCACGTTAGAAAGACAGAGCAAGTCACAATAGCTAAAATCAATTTGATTTTGTGCTCCCTATCTGTGACATTTCAAATTATCTATACGTTGGGGAGCATATTTTGGGGACAGTTATGTAAGATTTTGCCCTCACTCAGGAACTTCACTTTTTTATCACCTCCTGATTCCCTGAAAATGTGGCAGCAAGGGATGGGATATTAAAACTGAAATTAATTACTATATCAGCCATCCTTGAATTCTCATGACCTAATGTATTATTACCCTTGGCTCTCATGGCCCTGCAGTATTCCCCCTCACAAAGTCATGAGTTCTCTCACTGCGAACTGGTCACTAGTGGGTCTATGTTACTCAGAATGTCCTGAACCATACGTATTCCATTCTTTTACAAACTTAATTAGATAAACAAACCTATGATATTCAGTCCTCTCATCAATAGGTACAGGTTGCCTTTCCTGGGTTTTTATTTAATCAGTCTTCACATGACCTAAATCTGGGTGACTTCTGAGAAAAATTCCAGAAAACAAACTGCCTTTGAACCTCATAGAGATGGCCTTTGTTGGTACTCTTTATTACCAATTCAGCAGATAAACCACAAGGAGTTCATCGCTGTTTACTTTTTACCTATCAGTATGACATCATCCATCTTTAGATGACAAGAATTAAAAAGTAACTCATGTTAAAAATCTTAAACTGAGGTTCTGTGGAGAATCTTCTGAAGCAGACATCCACATAAGATGAATGCCAAGATCCTTAAAACAGCATAATTTTTTACACTAGACAGCTCCATCCAAGTCTAATGGAACAGAAGTCTTTAGATGATTGGAACCACTGATTATCATTCTCTCCTTTGCATTTTTTCTTCCTTCGGTTGTATTTTCTCATTTTAATGATAGAAGGTTATATATTTCTAATTTACTCTACTTTGTTCTTTTGGTAATGAAACAATTTGCTTAGACAGAGGCTTTACATAAAGCAATAATCATCCTAACACTATAATTCAGCTCTACAAAGCCAAAGCTAGTGCAACCAACTTAGAGAATTGTGGGAAAACGTAAATAGTAACCATACCCAAGTATGAACAAAGTGAGTTTTGATCAATCAAATTAGCCTTAAAATGTTACAAAAACATCTATTGATAAAAATTTAGGACAGAGTTGTTACAACTGAAAACCCTCAACTGAACCTCTCCATTATCAATTGCCATGGCGTTTCTTTTGTAGAATTATAAATCAAATCTCCAAAGATATTCAAACAGTTGAAATCATGAGTAATTCCTATAAAATGACTTCAAAGTTTAAAGCATTCAGGTGTGGAAAAACCTGTGCATGGTGGCAGAGATGGAGATCAAGAATGTACTTCCTCTAACGAATATCTCAGACTTCACACAAGTTTATATATTGTACAGTTCTATTTGTATGACGTCCAGAAAAAGATAACAGAGCAGAGCAAGATTTGCAAGCAGTGGGGATGGGACGGGTATGATTGTGAATAGATAGCACAGGGGAGTTTTTTGGGTTATGAAACTGTACTGTATCATTTTTGGGTGATAGTTACATGAACCTATAAAATGTATTAAAATTCAAAATTAACAGACTGAACTGCAAACCAAAAAATGGTCATTTTTCTATATGATAATTTTTTAAGTAAAAATTTAAAACACTGAGAAAATAAAACAAAACAATTGATGTTTTTTCTATTTTCCTGACTGGATTCTGCCTAATATATATATCATTTTCTCAACTTGGAAAAGACAAGCACCAGCCATGCCAACTGTGGTAGGCAAAATAATGCCTACAAAAAACCGGATCCTAATCCCTGAAATCTCTGAATGTTACTTCTTATGGCAAGAAAAATAAAATAAAATAAAACTTGAAGATATAATTAACGGAAGGAGACTGAGATGCGAATAATATCCTGGATTATATGGGCCTTGAGGGTAATCACATGCATACGTATAAAAGGGAGGCAGAGGGAGACATGACAACAGGAGAAGAGAAGCCAGTATGACCACGGAGACAGAGATGAGAGTGATGGGGCCACAAGCCAGGAAATGCTGGCAGCCATCAGAGTTGGAAGAGGCAAAGAACAGATCCTCTCCTACAGCCTCGGAAAGGGGCCCTCCTGACATCTTGTTTCCAATCCAGTGAAATTTATTGCAAAAATACTGCTGTTGTTTTAAACCAGAAAATTGGTATACAGGCAATAGAAAAAAAATATACCAACCTTGGTATATTTGTTTCACATGTTTTATTTAGTTCCATTGATCTATTTGTTTCATTCTATGCCAACATCAGAAGGTAGTCTTACAGTGAATTTTATTACCTGTTAAGGTTTAAAGCTTGAATGTGTCTGGATCTCAGCTAACTGTGTACTGGCTCTGCACACTCTGGCTAAGGAATTATTTTTCCTTCCATTTGAAAAATTGCCATCTAAGTAAGATACAGCAATTAAACCAATAGCAATTACACTCTCTCTCTTTCAACCAAGAAATAAACTGATAGACTACAAACCATGACTCCCACTCATTCCATTTTCAGGCCTGGAGAAAATGAGCCAATCAAGAGTCAACTTGCGGCCGGGCGCGGTGGCTCACGCCTGTAATCCTAGCTCTCTGGGAGGCCGAGGCGGGCGGATTGTTTGAGCTCAGGAGTTCGAAACCAGCCTGAGCAAGAGCGAGACCCCGTCTCTACTAAAATTAGAAAGAAATTAATTGGACAACTAAAAATATATAGAAAAAATTGGCCGGGCATGGTGGCGCATGCCTGTAGTC